AGCAGTACAGCCAAGCCCCTCTGTCATGATGATGGACGGGGATGCGCCCAGGCGCGGGTCAAGGGGTAACTCCCCGTGGCTCTGACCCCAAGCAAAGCAAAGCAAAGGGCGCTAACGCGCGCGGTGTTAGGGGTTTCCCCCTGCACCACAGCCCTGGCGAAAGAGAGACAGAGAGAGAGCGAGCGCTCTAGCGCTCTTTCTCGTGAGCAAGCAAGCGAGAGAGAGAGAGAGAGAGAGAGAGAGCGAGTGGGAGGGGCAGTCCCTCTCACCCTATTCCTGGCGAAAGAGCGAGAGAGTGAGGGAGAGAAATGTAGACCAGTCTTCTTCTTATCTATTGTTTGGTGCTTGCTCTTCATGTGAAGATATGTGAAGTGAACCAGTCCCTATTTCCAGTTCTATCTCCTTTCTGCTTGGGCGTGTCTGCAGCATATTCTTGAAAAGGCTCTAGACATGGGCTTCGTGACTGACGATCTGCCGAAGCTTCGTGCCACCCTTGTCTCGGCTTTCGAGCAGGCAGGTCTCTGCAGCAGCTTCACTGCCGGACGGGAATTCCTACTGACAGCAACGGAATGGCATCGTGTTTTGCTCGCACCGTCACGCTACGTGAGAGGCTCGCACTTGTGACGACAGAAGATGCATGTGCTGTCACAGGCGGATGTGGTCATTTCTTCTGGCGGTGTCAGCCGTGGGAGCAAGGACTTCATCAAAGAGCTGCTGTCGGAGGTGGGTGAGGTCCACTTCGGCGAGATGTGCATGAAGCCAGGTGCCATGGCTGGGAATTAAGAACTGTAGGCCGTTCGTGCTTTTTCTTGCACAAGTCAGCAAGTGCCGAGTGCTTGAGCTGTGCAAGAACGAGGCAAGCCCAGTACCTTTGCGACACTGGCTGGCCACGGAGCCCAGAGAAAGCTGTTCTTCGGATTACCAGGCCGAGGGCAGCCACCTTCCACGGTAATCAGTGCGCAGCATGGGCTTGCGTGCTTATGATTGCTTATGTCTTGCAGTGCGGCGTCGGGATGCAAGCCAGAGATTTCTGTCCCGACGGTACTGGTACTACGGCGTTCATCACCCATCGCGAAGGTAACCCTGTCAGCTGCTTTGTAACTTTCAAGCTCCTCGCTGCTCCAGCTTCTAGGCCTGAACTGGCATGCGGCTTCAGCCAATCAGTGCATGGTTTTGGGATGTTTTGGTGTCAATGCGGCAGAATTGCAGCTAGCCAGAATCCGTGATGTGTAATTGGAATTGTGAGTTGTGATCTCGATGTAACGTAGCTCTGTTCATGAGTCATCGCTAGTCCGCACAGTTCAGGGGTGATGGAGCTGGAAATGCTGGTTGCGGGACTATTGCTGTATCGCTTCAGGAGTAGGGGAGAGGCAAGGAGAGGGCGATGTTGGGGCGACAGTCGTGTCCGCGACATACTGCAGGCGGGTATACTGCTGGCA